TGGGGTCTCTTGCCAGGCTGGTCTTGCTGTCTCCGGGTTGGCAAATTCCTGAAGATTTGGGGGTGGATTCTGGGGGAGGGGGCAGGGTGTGGGGAGGGGAAGGGAAGGGAAGGGAGGGGCCTCACTGGGGTAGAATAGGCCATAGAATCCCACCCTCCAAAGCAGCCATGTCCACCAGGGAACTGATCTTTGTTGTCTGGGAATCGGTAGTAGTTCCAGATTTCCAGGCCGCCTCTGGAGGTTGGCAACCAGCTAGGTGTTGAGACCCAGTTTGGAATCGTGGTGAAGTGGGCGGACTCTAATCTGGGAGAACCGGGTTTGATTCCCCACTCTTCCACTTGCAGCTGCTGGATGACCTTGGGCAAGCTGTAGTTCTGACAAGAGCTGTCCTTGAAAAAGAGCCATTTCTGTCAGAGCTCTCTCAGCCCCACCTACCTCCCAGGCAGTGTTCCCTCTAAGATGAGTGAGTGTGAGCTAGCTCACAGTTTTTTAGCCCCCAGCTCGCACGTTTTGACTTAGCTCAGGAAGGAGGGCTCCAGAGCAAACTAATTTATGCAGTAGCTAAATGGCTCGCTCACAACTTCAATGCCAGTGGCTCACAAAGTAGAATTTTTGCTCACAAGACTCCACAGCTCAGAGGGAGCATTGCTCACAGGGTGTCTGTTGTGGGGAGGGGAAGGAATTTGTAAGCTGCTCCGAGGCTCCTTTGGGTAGTGAAGGGCCATGGGGTATACATCCCGTCTCTTCTTCTCTTCTTCTTCTTCTTATGAGGGGAGGGGAGTGCCTGGCACGGGGTGGGGGACCCATTCCCTTCTGACCTCGTGAGCAGCCTTTGCTCCTCCTGCAGGGCTGCTGCCTCCTGGCCGGCGTGTCCGCCGGCCACTCTGACCTGGACAGCCCAGGCCAGCCCAACCTTGTCAAATCTTGGGAGCTCAGCAGGGCCGACCGTGGCCAGGGACTGGAGGGGAGACCTCCGAGGAATACCAGGGCTCAGGATGCGGGGGCAGGCTATCAAGCCACCTCTCTGGGAAATGTCCAAGTTCCCAATAGGGGTTGCCAGGGGTCACCATGACGTCCAGGCATGCAAGTACACGCACGCACGCGCACACACAAATACCTACCAAAAAAAAGGACACTGCAGGCCAAAACGACAGATGCTGCAATGGCTCATAAGAACATCAGAGAAGCCAGTGTTGGATCAGGCCAATGGCCCATCCAGTCCCACACTCTGTGTCACACAGTGGCCAGAAATACCAGGTGCCATCAGGACGGAGATCCAGCAGTGGGGCCAGAACTCCAGAAGCCCTCCCACTGTTGCCTCCTTCCAAGCACCAAGAATACAGAGCATCCCTTGCCCCAGACCGAGAGTTCCTACCTATACCTTGTGGCTAAGAGCCACTGGTGGACCTCTGCTCTGTATGATTATCTAATTCCCTCTTATAAGAACATCAGAGAAGCCAATGCTGGATCAGGCCAATGGCCCATCCAGTCCAACACTCTATGTCACACAGTGGCCAGAAACACCAGGTGCCATCAGGAGGTCCAGCAGTGGGGCCAGGACACCAGGAGCCCCCCACACACACACTGTTGCCCCCCCAAGCACCAAGAATACAGAGCATCCCTTGCCCCAGACCAAGAGTTCCTACCTATACCTTGTGGCTAAGAGCCACTGATGGACCTCTGCTCCATACATTTCTCCAATTCCCCCTTGAAGCCGTCCATGCTTGTAGCCGCCACCACTTCCTGTGGCAGTGAATTCCACGTGTTCATCACTCTTTGGGTGAAGAAGGACTTCCTTTTTTCCGTTCTAACCCGACCGCTCAGCAATTTCATGGAGTGCCCACAAGGAGTTCTTGTCTTGTGAGAAAGGGAGAAAAGGACCTCTTTCTCGACCTGCTCTAACCCATGCATAATCTTATGAACCTCGATCATGTCACCCCTTGACCGTCGTTTCTCCAGTGGGGCTCTGGGCCGGCCCTTCTGTGGAGAGCTGGGATAAGCAGCCAGGATTGGGCCGCCACGGGTGGAGCTCCTGCGGAGAGGTGGGGAGGCGTCCCTTGGGGCTCAGGCCCACCCTAGCGGGGCTCTTTCCTGGCTCTTGTGAAGGGGAGCCTTCTCTATCTCTCTCTCTCTCCCTCTCTCTCTCTCTGACCCAAACATTCCCTGTCGGCAGATCTTTGCGTTTCTGGCTGCCATGTGCCTGATCCTGGCTGTCGGCAACAGCATTTGGGAATACAACACGGGCTATTACTTCCAAGTGTACCTGCCGTGGGCGGAGGACGTCCACTCTGCGCCCTTCTCCGGCTTCCTCATGTTCTGGTCCTACGTCATCATCCTCAACACGGTGGTTCCCATCTCTCTCTACGTCAGGTAAGAGGGGCGAGGCGGCCTTGCTGCGAAAGGAGGAGGGTGGGCCGGGGACGCCTCGCGGGAGAGTGTGCCGGAGCTCCCCACCCCGAGTCCACCCCCTCCTGGGGCCAAGAGCTGGCTGCGAGAAGGGAAGGCCACAGCTCCGCCGCCGGCCTTCAGGAGGAAGCCAGCGTGGCACCATTTTTGGAGGGGCTCTTCGGTGCAAACTGCTGGGCAAACAGATGCCAGGGGAAGTCCCAGGTCTGTGACCTCTGCTCCTCCACGGCAAATGAGGGACGGCCCACCACGTCCTCCTGACAGGAAGTTCCAAAGGAGTTCTGTAAAAGAGAGCCTATGGCAAACTCCCAAACCATGCCCATGGGCAGGCAACAAAGCTTCGGGGTGCGTGTGTGCAGGGGAGGGGGCCGTGGCTCAGTGGTACAGCACCTGCTTGGCAGCAGAAGTTCCCAGATTCAATCCCTGGCATCTCCAGCTAAATAGGACTGGGCAGTAGGTGTCAGACTCCTGCAGCAATCAGTACCCAACAACTTTCATTCACAGAAGTAAAACTTTATTGAGACACTGATAGTATGCAGATATCATAACCATTCCGTGTTAGAACTGAAGGAAAGCATGTGAAGCAAAGAGATATACCTAACTCAAAGGGGTCCCCCGATGGCCCATGGCCAATCAGGTAGCTTACAGGAGTCCACCACGGTAACGGGCAACAGTTCCCAAGAGAAATACTACACCGGACAACCAAGGTCACATAGTACATCAGACAGATGATAAAACAGTGAAGTCTCAGCAGAAACGAAAGTTATCATTCCAGAGTATCCCCCCCATCTCCATGACAGCCAGGCAAGAGGCCTAGCTGACAGTAGGTGTTGCGAAAGACCTCTGCCTGAGGCACCCTGGAGAACCACTGCCCTAGTCTGAAGAGACAAGACTGACCTTGGTGGGTGTATGCTCTGGTTCAGCGTAAGGCAGCTTCAGGTATTCATATGGACCTGTGCCTGCTCCAGCTAGCCAACTGGCATTTCTTTGGTGGTGGTGGTGGTGGGTGGCCAGGCAGTGTGATTCTGCTGGGAAGCCATGGCCTACTGCACCTTTCCAAATTGCATGCGGCAATTTACATGCAGGGTTAGGGTTAGGGTTAGGGTTAGGTTAACCCTAACCTTCTTGCTCCTTTGCATGGGTTACATGCTAATTTGGTGTGAGAGCCAGTTTGGTGTCGTGGTGGCATGGACTCTAATCTGGGAGAACCGGGTTTGATTTCCCACTCCTCCTCCCCTGTCACCTGGCTGGACGACCTTGGGCAAGCCGTAGTTCTGATAAGAGCTGTCCTTGAAAAAGAGCCGTTTCTGTCAAGAGTTCTCTCAGCCCCACCGACCTCACAGGGTGTCTGTTGTGGGAAGGGGAAGGGAAAGGAGTTTGTAAGCTGCTCTGAGACTCCGAGTGAAGGGCAAGGGGTATGAATCCAATCTCTTCTTCTTTCTTCTTTCTTCTTTCTTCTTTCTTCTTCTTCTTCTTCTTCTTCTTCTTCTTCTTCTTCTTCTTCTTCTTCTTCTTCTTCTTCTTCTTCTTCTTCTTCTTCTTCTTCTTCTTCTTCTTCTTCTTCTTTGTTCCTGGAACCCTTCCCATACCCTCTGTGGCAGAATTTTTGTACCTTGTGAAATGGCCTAACATGGAAACTATCTGAGAGGTCAGTTCTGAAACCCCCTGGAACAAGAAGCTTCTTCCCAAGCAGGGGTGGCATCCTGTCAGCTGAGGGTGGAGGCATTTTTCTCTATCAATCCTTCCCCCGACTTCCATTTGTTCCTGAGTTGTAGATATGGATACAGATATAGATAGACACGCACGTATATTCATGCGTCCGATGAAGCGGACTGTTTCTCACCCAAGCGCTCCCCGCAGTAACCGTCTTAGTCTTTCCGGTGCCACAAGACTCTGGGTTCTTCTTTTTCTGCCAAGGCGACTGGAATGTTTCTTCGCGTAGTCAGCCAGTCACCTTCCTTTCCCCCAGTGTAGAGATCATCCGCCTGGGGAACAGCTTCTACATCGAGTGGGACCGGAAGATGTACTTCCCGCTGAACGACACCCCCGCCCAGGCCCGCACCACCACCCTCAACGAGGAGCTGGGGCAGATCAAGTACATCTTCTCGGACAAAACCGGCACCCTCACGCAGAACATCATGGTCTTCAACAAATGCTCCATTGACGGGAAGTCCTACGGTAGGGTCCCTTTTGGCCAATGGTCACTGGCTAGACTTCCCCCACCACCCACCAGATCTCAATCAGAAAACAGTAGGCAGGAAGTGGGAATTCTGAGAGTTTGCCCCTGGTGGCATGAAAAAATACTGGCCGGCTGCCCTTGCCCATGCCAAGAGATGGTGGCCATGGCGGGGGAGGGGGGAGACAAGGCTAAAGATTTTGGCCCTATCTGCACTGACTGCTTTTGTGCTCCGGAGAATCCGAGGAGTCGGGCCTTTAAGGGTCGACTTCACAGTCGCACGCATTCCCTCTGCGCTGGTTTTTTCTCCTCCGGTTTATTTATTTGTGTATTCTGTATGCATTCTGCATCTACAAGCAAAACCCACATTTTTTGTGCCAGCTGGCTGCCAATCCCTCCCTCCCTCTGTGATTCTGCAAAAAGAAAGGGGAGGGAGGGGGAGATCCAGGCGCACACATGCAAGACTGACACATTGGGGAGCAGGGAATCCCCTCGTCCTTTATATGTACTTGATCCCTTCTTATGCCCTCTCTGGCTTTTTTAAAGTTTGCCTGAGAGGGAAGACACATCCTCTTTTGTCTTTATTATTTATTTATTAAGTTCAATTTATACCCCGGCCTCCCTGCAAAGCAGGCTCAGGGCGGCTTACATAAAACACATATATAAGTACAGTTAAAATTATACATAAAGCAGCCATAAATCCTATATAAAACAGTCATAAACATTTCCTAAAGTGCCGGAGCAATACTCAAGTAAAGTGCAGTATTCAAGTAAAGTGCACAAGTAAAGTGCAAGAGCAAATGATGGTCCTGATAGTATTCTCCTATCAGCTCAAATTGATTAACTAATTTCTGTGGCGAGGCGGCTGAAGACGGTAAAGCCAGGGCACAGGGTCACTCCTCGGTATTTAGCCGGCTCCTAGTCGAAAGCCTGGTGGAAGAGCTCCGTTTTACAGGTCCTGCGGAACTGGAGTAGGTCCTGCCGGGCCCCAATCTCCTCCAGGAGCTCATTCCACTAGTATGGAGCCACCACCGAGAAGGCCTTGGGCCTGGTTGCCGCCAACCTGACATCTTTGGGGCCTGGGAGAGCCAGCAGGTTTTGGGCCCCTAAATGCAGTGCTCTCTGGGGAACGTATGGGTAAAGGCGGTCCCTCAGGTATGCTAGCCATAAAGGGCTTTAAAGGTCAAAAACAGCACCTTGAAGCAAATCCGGTATGCTTTCGGCACAGGCTGGATGTGCTCCCCTATAGAGAGACCCATCAACAGCCTGGCCGCAGCATTTTGCACCAGCTACTGCTTCTGGATTTGGGACAAGGGCAGCCCCATGTAGAGAGCGTTGCAGTAGTCTAATCTTTGCAGAAGGAGGGAAAGAAAACAGAACAGGGAGGGAAAGAAAGAGGTGGAAACGGGGGGAGGGCAGCGGGCAGCACTTAAATACCTGCAGAAACAATCCGCCTTTAGAAATGATTAGCGATTTGAAAGTGGACGAGCACAAAGAATCGCAGCAAAAGGAGTTTTGGTAGCTGTGGGGCAGCAGTGTGCTGGAAGCAGTCTGAATGCAGATTCCTGTAAAACAACTGCAGAAACAAGAGAAAGCCCCCGACACAGAGTGGAAGTGGAAGTGGAGGGGGGGGGAATGCAGAACGGAAGAACAGGATGTGCTCAGAAACCAGGGCAGAATACGGCTGCGGAAAGGGCCTGTGTGAGACGTCCTCCTTTGTGGAGTCCTGGAGGGACATTTGCCTATGAAGTTTAAGTAATCAAAGAGCACCTTCCCCCCCCCCTCCGTGTTCAGATGTTAAAAACTGTGCATCATGTAGATGGATAGTGAGGGGGAGGGTCCTGCCTGCTGAGCCCACCCTGAGAGCCAGGGGTCTTGGCGTGGTCTGTACTGCTGTGTTTAGCTAATTGTGAGCAGGGTCCTATTTATGTGATCGCTGCACCGCTTCAGGTGTTGTGTGGATACTTACGCTATGCTTCAGTTTCTTTCCGGCAGTTCCAGAATTTTAAAATCCTCATGCATTGGTTATTGGATGTCCCGCTATGTCGATTGTACTGGACTCGCTCTGTGTAATCCGCCCGGAGTCTCCAGGAGAAAGGCAGACGACGAATAACATAAATAGCATAAAAGTAAATAAAATATGTGGAGATTCCATGGGCTGCTCCACACGGTCAGCAAAGCTGCAGGACCTGGCCGCCCCGTCCCCGTGTGGCCCAGCTGGCCTTG